GTCCAATCACACACTTGGCCAAGAGCAAAATTCTATTTTATCCCTGAGCACAGAACGGGACAACTTGTCACTGCGGCCAACTTGCAGTGGGACAATTGAAGAATTCAATTCAATTGTTTAAAATAAATAAATAAAAAATACGTTTTTATTCTTGACGTTCCCCTTTCATTCCGTCCCTCCTTTTTCCATCCTTTCTTTCCCGATTCTAGTCCACCTTTTCTTTGATGTTAGTGTGACTCTTGTCCCACAATGAGTTGTCATACAGCAGTGGTGGCGAACCTATGGCATGGGTGCCAGAGGCGGCACTCAGAGCCCTCTCTGTGTGCACGCGCACTGTCGCCCCAGTCCTAGGCCTTCAGCTGGGTTTGATAAAACCTTTTCACTTTAGGCCTCTGCTGCTGTGTGCAAAAAAAAAAAAGAAGGTTCAATCAATCAGTCAATTTCAACTTCTTGCAGGAAAGAAAAAGATCTCGCAAAGTTGGAATTGATGGATTGAACTTTTTAGTCCCACCCAGTCTGCCGTTACCACCACAGCCACACCCACCCAATGGGCCATGCCCACCCAATGGGCCACACCCACCTAATGGGCCACACCCACCTAATGGGCCACGCCCACCCGGCACCCGACGATGCATAAGTGGGTTTTGGGTTGCAGTTTGAGCACTCGGTCTCTAAAAGGTTCGCCATCACTGTCATATTATAGCAGTGATGGCGAACCTTTTAGAGACGGAGTGCCCAAACTGCAACCCAAAACCCACTTATGCATCGTCGGGTGCCGGGTGGGTGTGGCCCATTGGGTGGGCGTGGCCCATTGGGTGGGCGTGGCTGCGGTGGTAACGGCAGACTGGGTGGGACTAAAAAGTTCAATCCATCAATTCCAACTTTGCAAGATCTTTTTTTTCCCCGCAAGGAGTTGAAATTGACTCATTGATTGACCCTTTTTTTTTTTTGCACATGGCTGTGGAGGCCTAAAGCGAAAAGGTTTTATAAAACCCAGCTGAAGGCCTAGGACTGGGGCGAGGGCGCGCGTGCCCACAGGGAGGGCTCCGAGTGCCGCCTCTGGCACCCGTGCCGTAGGTTCGCCACCACTGTAGTATAGACTCCCCTGAGCACTTCTCTGTGAAGAGAACATGCTGCACCTATTTTGGCCAGTAGGGGTCAGGGTTGCTGAACTTTACCTATAATGCAAAGTACATTACAGCAGAATGGAAACCGATCAAGGAGAGAATTAAGGAGAAACTTCCTGACAGTGGGAACAATGAACCAGTGGAACAGCTTGCCACCAGATGTAGGTGTCCCATCAGTGGAGGTTTTCAAGAAGAGACTGGACAACCATCTGGTCGGAAATGGTGTAGGATCTCCTGCTTGAGCAGGGGGTTGGAGTAGACGACCTCCGAGGTCCCTTCCAGCTCTGATATTGTTATCCATGTTTCAAGACCCCCGCTGGATCCTCTTCCAGGTGTTTTGAGGTGGAACCCCTAAGGCAGGGGTCCCCAACCCTTGGGCCGTGGACCGGTAGCGGGCCGCGGCATGCCAGCAACCAGGCTGCACAAACAAGCAAAGCCCCATCTGTGGGATGGAGGCAGCACACAAAATCACGCCCCCTCCGGTCCTTGGAAAAACCTCTGTCCACGGAACCGGTGGTCCCTGGTGCCCAAAAGGTTGGGGGCCTCTGCATTACAGGTAGTCTTCAACTTATGACCACATTTGAAAGGTCCTTGGTATTCTCTGAATCCTTGGTGCTTTAAATTAGCACTGATGCTGTTCCCTAGTTGGGTCATGAAATGTCTGCAAGAAAATCACCAGACTCAGAGAGCACCAAGGACCCCACAGTCGTCGTCTTCGTCGTCATCATCCTCCTCCTCCTCCTCCCCTCCTCCTCCTCTTCCCCTCCTCCTCCTCCTCCTCCTCCCTAGTTAAGGTCATGAAACGTCTGCAAGAAAACAAGCTCAGAGAGCACCAAGGACCCCACAGTCCACTTCCTTCGGTTCCTCCTCCTCTCCTCCTCCTAGCACTGATAATGTTACCTAGTTAGGGTCATGAAACGTCTGCAAGAAAACGAGCTCAGAGAGCACCAGGGACCCCTCATTTCAACCCTGAACTACAAATATTCTCCTTCATTGGTATGTCATGGTTTGTTTGGACTGGATGATGGTCCCCATTGGCTGGGAAAATGATTGTTTAAGTCTATGAATTGGGGTTGAAACCTCAGACTGAGTTTTGCTTTGACATACCCGTGCAGTGTACTCAATAAACAGGACGGTTTTCGGAGACGGAATGAACCTGGAGTTTGATTTGGATCGTCGAGCTGGATGTTGACGCCAGCTCTCCATCATTGTCTTAAATTGCCCTGTGTTTCAGAGATTACCTCTTCAAGTGCATAGACTGCGCTCTGGTGGTGACTCAGCGCATCAACGGGGAACAACACGTTGCGGTGCCCCTGAGGAACACAAGCGGCCAAGCTATCATGATGCTGGACCTCAACCTCGGAGCCCGTCAGCAGCTGTCACCTTGTGCCCACAAGGACATGCAGAAGATGCTGAAGATGGTGCAAGCCGCCACTCACGAGATCCTGAAAGAGGATTCCGGAGATCTGGAACCATATTACGTCTTGGGTAAGGGGCCCATTTCTTGAATTAAAATCTTAGAATCGGGACATCGAATCCAGCATTGTCCA